GCCACAGGTTAGATATGCAGAGAAGAGCTGATGCTGCAGTTCAAGTCTGAAGATTGGCAGAATTCCCTCTTCATCTGAGGAGGTCAGTCTTTTTATATTAAGGCCTTCAAATGATTAGAAGAGGCCCACTCATATTATGGAGGATACTCTGCTTTTCTCAAAGTCTATTGATTCAAATGTTAATCCCTTCCAAAAAACCTTCACAGAAACATCTAGAATACTGTTAAACCAAGTATCTGGGTACTGTGGCCTATCCAAGGTGACACATTAACCACCACAGGGGCCGGCCTGGTGGCATAGCGATTAAGTTCTCACACTTTGCATCAGCAACCCGGGGTTCGCAGGTTCGGATCCCCGTTGCGGACCTACATACTGCTCCTTAAGCCATGCTGTGGCAGTGTCCCACATACAAAATAGAGGAGGATTGGCATAGATGTTAGCTCAGGGCCAATCTGCCTTACCAAAAAAACAAACAAACAAAATTAACCATCACAAGCACCTACTCAGTTGCTTTTCACTGAGGATGTAACAGCCAACAAGACAAATGTGGTCCCTGGCCCCATGATGTTTACTCAAAAATTCATTAATTCAACAGTCCCTGGTTATAAACAAATTCAAACTCAAATGTAAAAGATTGAAACCAGCTCCTCTCCAAATAGCAAGTATTGATAAGGAGGTGAAAGAGTTAAAAAAAAAAAAAACTCTCTGGCTGCCAAAAGCTAAAAGCCAGGGAACAGGTAGCAGAAAGAGATTCTGGTATCTTTGAAGATGAACTTGAAATCATTCACAGCTTTGTCAGGGTCATTCTTACTGACTCCTCCACCTATTCCAGAGTTGGTGGTCCCCTTTGTATCATTTGGGGATGGGTATAGTCAGGAGAGGCTTCACCATGGAGGTGATGTTTAAGCTAAATGTTCAGTGACGGATAGATGTACAGTTGGCAGAAAGAAAGACAGGGAAAGGTCATTCCAAGCATTAGAGATCAAAGAAGCCATAAATAAAGACAAAAAGGGAAATGCATTACATTTGGGGAGGCACAAAGTGTTCCCTGTGGGTGGGGCAGAGAGCATAGTGGCAAAGCACAGAGACAAAAGAGGTGGAGAAGTACATATGGGGCCTGTTTCCCATGCATGCTTGGAGTAAGCAGTGAGAAACCATGAAAAGTGTTAAGCTTGAAGGAGATGTGATCATTTTGTGTTTTACTGGCCGAGAGTCCTGGGGATGGATTATGGTGGGCCAAGACTGGAGTCAGAGACCATCAGTGCGTGATTAAACTATTCTGGAGAGAGACAATGAAGGCCTAAAAGTGAGACTGGAGAAGAAGGAAGGAGGTTGGGACTTGCAATGGGATTAGAATAAAAAGATGGTGATTTATTGATTGTGGGGGTAGAGAGAGAGAGAGGCAGAGAGGGAGGAGTTTGACTTGGATGGGGTGTCATCGACTGAGAGAGAAAACACAAGAAGTGGAGCAGATGTAGGGGAAAAGAAGAATTCCATTTTGGAATGGGAGCCTCCAGGAGTGGTCCTTTCAACCAGTGGAGCTGCCCACCTTCAAGTAGATCACACAGGCCTTGCCAAGGAGAAATACAATCATGGTGACCACCACAGAGGGCATGCCCCCACCCCATAGTCCTGGATCACATAAACCTAGGGTTTTTATATAATCCAAGAAAAGGGGAGCAAGGTCTCTCAAACTGACTGATATCAGACTTCTTGCCAGTCTTTGTATATGGTGGACTAAGAAATAATTGGATTATGTGTCATGGTATAATTCATAGCTGATAGTTTTATATTACTCAAGTTAATACTTACTATAACTCTATGACATGAGTTCTATTATCATCTCTGTTTTACAGAGAAACTATGTAATTTTCCCAAGGCCATCCAGCTAATAAGCAGTAGAGCCAAGAGTTGAACCTCAGTATTTGAGCTGCTTCATAGCCATCAGATTACGGCCAGGAGAAAGGAGTTACTCAGACTTCTTCTAAACCATGTTTTATTTTTATACAATCCAACTACTGAATAATTTAAGGATCTCTTGCCTTTTTCCACAAATGAATGCCAGTATAAAGCTCATTTGATTTATAATTCATTTTTTCAAATGTGGAGATGAGATCTTATATAATTTTCCTTTTTATTGTCACTTTCCTTAGCATTGTAGTAGGAACCGAAAGAGTGTTATCTCTTTGCTCATGAGGACCCTGCAACCTCCTGCCCATTTTGACAAAAAGTTTGCCTGCCTTGATGAGCAAAAATAAAAGCATTGCTGACTTCTTCTATTACAGGAACATTGAACACACAGGATTCATTGGGTGTCATTACACATGCAACATTTTAAATCTCCCACTTTCTCTTTAATACTGCTTGGTGAAGGCAGTCTTTCTCCTCCCTCTGGATGAAAACCTGCCAGTGAGGGCTCAGAAGGAAATGAGGAACATGCTAGAAAGTGGAGGAAAAGGGACCCTTCTTATATAGTGACAGAAAAGCTTTGCTCAATTGTTTGTCCTACAGTCATGTGGAAATCAGAACTTATAAGTGATGAAATCGGATATTTAGCCAGGGTGATTTCCAAACAAAGTATTAAAGGTTCATCCTGGTTCCTTCTTGCTGCTTATAGTAAAATTCAAGAGGAAAAAGATAGATTGAAAAACTGGTAAGAAAAAAGGAATCAGGACTTGATGATTTAGGAAATTCTCAGATTCTCAGGAATTCTCAAGTTCTCAAGAATTCTTATCCATATTGCAAAAGATGTTAAAATTAGGAGATTCACTGCCAGGAGATACCTTGGAAAGAAAAGCCAAGAGTATGGCTGGACAACCTTTTGCTAGCACCTTAACTCCTTAAAATAGGCATTATTATTGTTATTTTAAATATTTAATGTTGCTTAGATTTACTTATATGATTACCAGTTTCTTTGCTCCCCACTCAATCTTACATTTTAGACCTTGTTTCAGAGTCATTTTCCTTCTTTCTGGAGTACATCATTAGAAATTCCTTATGTGAGGGTCTGTTGGTAGCAAACTCAGTTTTTATCTGAAAATATCTTTAATTCTCCCTCATTGTTAAAATTTTACAAGGTATACAATTTCAGGTTGACAGTCAATATCTCTCAGCCTTTTGAACATATTATTCTATTGTCCTATGGCTCCCATCATTGCTGTGAGAGTCAGCTGTCAGTCAAATTGCTGAGCATTGAAGGCATTCTCTTTTTCTCTCTAGCAGTTTATAGGATCTAATCTTTATTACTGGTGTTCTGTAATTTCACTACAAGGTTTCTAGAAATGGAGTTCTCTTTGTTAATCCTTCTTGATATAGGTTTTGATTCCTGGATTGGTTGGCTCATCAGGTCTGGAAAATTCTTAGCTATTATCTCTTGGAATATCTCTCCTCCAATTTCTCTCTCCTCTCTTTTAGCAATCTGATTACACTCCTTTTATACTTTCTTTCTATCCTTTGTACTTTGTGACACTTTTATATATGCTCAATACCCTCATTTGTCTGTGTAAGTCTCTCTTCCAATTCATTAATGAGGGAGTCCCAGCTTTATACAAGCCCATGGTATGATCTCTCACTCCCCTGGTGGGATATTAATTCCAAAACTCCAGGATTCTGAATCCACACTGCCTGGGTTAAAATTCTGGCTCTACCACTTACTATTGTGTGACCATGGACAAGTTACCTAACTTCTCTGTGCTTCGTTTTCCTCTTCTATAAAATGGACATTGGTAATAGTTCCTCTCATAGGACTGTCATGAGGAATAAATGAATTGATATGAGTAAAATGCTTGGAGTGCCTGGTCCATAGGAAGTGCTCTAAAAGTGCTTACACTTTAAGTATTAGCATGTGCCTCTATGTTAGTTTAAGACTCACTCATTTGGTTTGAGCTCATTGAATTTTTTTTAAATGATTTTGAGGATTTCCTTTATGTTCTTTCAAGCTGAGCAGCATTTAAAAGTATGTTTGTTATAATTTATCCAGAAATTAGTTGAACTTGTTATAATTTATCTAGCATCTAGTTGAAAAGAATGTTTGTTATAATTTATCCAGAATCTAGTTGAACAGTCTGGTAGAAAGGCTTTTTTAACTACTTAGTCCCTGTATTATGGAGACTGAGCTGAAAGGAGCATGCCAAAACAGGTTCAAGGCTGTGCCAGGGGCCTCAGGTCCCTTGAACATTTTATGCTGTCGAGGAATAAGAAAGGTTAATCATAAAACAGTAAAGGGCTTCTTTGTTCCAGGTCCTTTTTAGAGCATGACCATGACCCCTACTTTACGCTCCAGTGGAAACCCTCCCCAAACTACTCTGACAACCCTCAACAGAAGTGGCTACTCTCTTCTTTTCCCTACACTTAGGCTGTGTACCACTATCCATTATAATAGATGTATTGTTTTATCTCTCATTCAACCTTATATCTTTGGCACATAGTAATTCTCAGTAAATGTTTGTTAAATGTATGAATGAATAAATGAAAGAAAAAGGCAATGGAAGAAACAACATATATGAAGAACAGGCTCTTCTATGATTTAAACATAAAGATGAATCTTCCTCCACAACTTTTCAACATGCTAAATTTTCATGAACAAGCCAATTGCTAAATATTGTTTAACAACCTATAGATAACTACACAAAAAACAAAAGCAGTAAAATTGGTTGCTTCTGGGAAATGAAACCAAGAGCAAGAAGAGGTAAGTCAGAGATCTATTATTTTTCTTTAAAAGCCCTCTGTACCATTTTATTTTTAATCATATATATTTAATTTTTAACTATGTCTGCCTTGATACAAATTGAAATATTTAAAAATAACGATTAGTCAATTTTGGACCTACTGTAACTCAAAATACCTGCAGAACATTTGACCTCATAGGGTTTAGTATGGTACTTTTTGTGTACGTACTCAGAGTCCTGATTCCCAAAGAGGTGTTGATCCAAAGCCAAGTTGACAAATAAACAGAACTCTGAACTTTAAAAAGACAGTTCCAATGGATCTAGACTGGGCTGAGCAGGCATACTGATCGGTGCCTACGGTAGCTGTAGAGGGACTAAGTTTATCAATCAACTCCATGGTTTTCCTGGAGATCTCTTGATATCAAAACTTTTTTCCTCACACACTTCTCTGATCCTGTGGAGATGAAAATTGACATCCATAGTCATATTCTACCCAAAGAATGGCCAGATCTAGAAAAGGTAACGGTGATTAATTTGCTGAATCATTTCTGGAATTTCTCCAGGGTTTCTCGATGCTTCTGTTACAGACCTTTCTCTTCTTTTGGGAATTAGATATTAAGTTTCTCTGCTGTAGGAGTGATTTTAATTATTTGGTAGCTCTGATTTCTTAGTTTTTAAAAATGACTTTTAAGTTTATCTTGAAAGAATGTTAGATCAAAGAAGTAAGTGCTTTCTCAAAATCCCTTTTACCTCTCAAATAAGCATTCTTTAAAATTTCTGGGGCCGGCCCGTGGTTTAGCAATTAAGTGCACGCGCTTTGCTACTGGCGGCCGGGGTTTGGATCCTGGGCGCGCACCGATGCACCGCTTCTCCGACCATGCTGAGGCCGCGTCCCACATATAGCAACTAGAAGGATGTGCAACTATGACATACAACTATCTACTGGGGCTTTGTGGCAAAAAAGGAGGAGGATTGGCAATAGATGTTAGCTCAGAGCCGGTCTTCCTCAGCAAAAAGAGGAGGATTAGCATGGATGTTAGCTCAGGGCTGATCTTCCTCACAAAAAATAAATAAATAAAATAAAATAAAATTTCTGGACAATTTAAGACAGGCATTTTTACTTCCATTTAAATCACATATTCAGCTGCTGGGAAGATAAATGCCAACTATAAAATTTAAAGTTATAGTTTCAAGTAAGAGACTATTAACAAATGGAATATGATAGGTTTCCAGGACTTCTAAAACATATCTCCTTTCCAAAATGTTTAAAATAAGTTTTAGAAACACCAAGATATAGCTTTGTGAAATTTTTTTTAGTCTATTTTAGGATACTGTCTGAAACTTTTCCTTTTTGATGTTCTTTAAGCTATAAATTCTTGTTATGAAGAACTAGGGAGTAGGAACATCAAAAAACTCTAGAGGAAATGACATGAAGCCTTTGCACAATGAGTGTCTCTAAAGAGTATTCTCTGTGTTTCTCTACAGATGGAAATTTCCTTTTGTCATTAAGAACTTTTGAATGAATACTAAAAGAATGTGGGAACATGTAAGAAATTTAAAATTGGCGTGATTTTTGTTCAGGCTAATTATCAGGTTTTACCCAAAATTTAGCCTTCTCCAGCACTTTTACCCCACTGATAATGTTTTATCTTTTTTTATCTCCAGTGAGGAAAAATGAATTAACCCAACCTCTAATCAAAATGTGGTTCATTGTGCAAGTAGATGAAACTATTTTCTTCTCATAGTTGTCTCCTGGATGAATGTAAATCCTAAGTGTTTCTTTGTCCATTGGCATCTTAGGTAAGATGGGTGTTAGACATGGTGATGGAAAAATACACATGATGCTGAACCATCTTTGAAAGGCTTTCCTACTATAACTAATGGGAAAAGCTAACCCTATCAAACTAACCCCTCCAAAAGGGGTCTAAGTGCCGACATGGGCACTTACTGTTCTGAATGCCGCTGTCTTTGTCATATTTTATTAAAGTGTAAATACCACTTCACAATGTTAGTGATTTTATGAAGGGAATGCACCAGAGGCTTTTAATTCATAAGTTACTTCACAGGAATATGTTTGGCTTATTTGGATGCTGCGTGCAGTTTCTTACTTCTTATAGTATTTGCCATTTTTACCCCTCATTTATGGTTATTTGCCTGATGAATGATACACTGACTAAATCAATTAATTTATGATACAAGTAATGGAAGGAATAGACTATACTCCCTAAGCTGAGAGGTTTAGAAAAATCCAAATTTTAGGATTTGGTATTTTACAACAGCGCTGATCTATCCCCAGAAAATAGCATTAACTTCAACATGACAGCTTTTCTCTTTATTTGAGTCTCAAAGAACACCCACATAAAATGTTTTGGGAACTACCTTGGTGGTCTCTAGGGGACACTGCCTACCTGTACTGTCGTCCCCCTGAGGGAGCTGGCATGACCCACGCTCCAAGAGAATGTCACAGCACCAGGGCCTCCAAGCTCCATAGCATCTACATCTTTGTCCAGATGAGGATTTGATGCTTAGAGAGTAAGCCAATCATAGTTAAGATGTTCTTTCATCTTAACTGTTCCTTAACAGCCTGTACGGCTGTTCCTTCCCTATAGGCTGTTCCTTCTATTGGCAGATGTAAGGCATATTATGCAAAGAAGAGCCTAGCTGTTCTTTTCATTCTTGTTGGATTCTCAGCGTGGAATTCGGATTTAAATCCAGGCTTCAGCAACTCCAAAACTGATGTAAGCCAATGTCCAAGAGAAATATCTTGTTTCTGGGAAACACACTCTTCAGACCCCTTTAGAAAGATGGTTGTCTTCCCACTAAACCTAGGACCCAATGAGACAGTCCCTCTGGGCACTGGAAGCTGTTCCTAAATAAGTCACAAAGTATAAAGGTCTCTTTCATAAGCTCTCAGCCTTCTCCATCTGGAAGACCTATAGTGGCCTAAAAGGGTGCCTCCTCTTTGCTGAGTGGAGAAAACTTTTTACCTAATATCCTGTGCCGCAACTCCATCTCCCATTACCTGGCTCCCACCCCACAGCCTGCCTTAAGTTTGAGCAGAGAACAGGTCATCAAAAGCTGGCAATTTCGAGGTGCACTACCTAATGCAGGGCCCTACAGGCATTGTTAAAACTGCTTAGGAAGCTGAGGGATGCAGAGCATGGGGAGGCTATAGCCATAAATGTATGCCCTGGAGACTTCTCAAGCACATGATCCACTGGCTCTTTACCCACTTCCCCTTCCTATCTGCTGGCTCTCACCTCAAAAGAGGAGAGGGGCACTTTGTAGCGATAAACCAGGCATCTATCTAACAGTCTCACATGCAGCAAGCAGATAGCTGATACACTTAATAATGATGATGATTATGATGATGATGATGAGGGTAGTAGTAATAATCATAATGGTCCTATACTTCCAGGGAGATATATATATATATGTGTGTGTGTGTGTGTGTGTGTGTGTGTATGATTTGATTCACGTAAAACTTTGTGAAATGCAAAGAGGACTTATATTATTAACCCAGCTTGACAGACGAGGTACTTGACATTCAGAAATGAGCCTAGAATCCCAGAGCTACATGGTACTGTGGTGGCTTCTCCATAGCACCACCACCACACTCACCTTTTTTTTTCAACAGAATATTATGTTTTTATACATTTTTTACAATTGACATATTGTGTAAGTTTGAGGTGTACAACATGTTTATATATTTATATATTGCAATATGATTACTACAGTAGCATTAGCTAACACCTTTATCACATCACATAATTATCATATCTTTTTTGTGTTGAGAACAACGAAGATCTAGTCTCTTAGTAACTTTGATGTTTACAATACAGTATTGTTGACTATAATAACTGTGCTGTGCATTAGATCTCTAGAACTTATTTATTGACTAGTTGCAAGTTTGTACCCTTAAACAACATCTCCCCAATTCCTCCACACACACCAGGCCATGGTAACCACCCTTCTACTCTCTGTTTTTACAAGTTCAGAGAGCTGGCCCAGAAGAGTATCACAGTTCTTTTTTTTCCTGTGAGGAAGATCAGCCCTGAGCTAACATCCGTGCTAATGCTCCTCTTTTTGCTGAGAAAGACCGGCTCTGAGCTAACATCTATTGCCAATCCTCCTCCTTTTTTTTCCCCAAAGCCCCCAGTAGATAGTTGTATGTCATAGTTGCACATCCTTCTAGTTGCTGTATGTGGGACATGGCCTCAGCATGGCTGGACAAGCGGTGCGTCGGTGCGCGCCCGGGATCCGAACCCGGGCCTCCAGTAGCAGAGCACGCGCACTTAACTGCTAAGCCATGGGGCCGGCCCCAAGAGTATCAGAGTTCTAACGGATGTCCACGCTTCCCTCTGCCCTCCAGTGCCTCCTTTCACACCTGCCCGCTCCCAGTCTCTTCACACTCACATAAACCCACTGAGGGCGCAGGGTCATTGGAACCTGGCTCCCAACCCCCAGGTCAAGCAATCGGATCTGTTAGGTGGTAGAAGTTTCCATTTGAGTGCAGGCAAGCCAGTGACGAAAAAACTAGCAGAAAACAATTCTGTGTTTGCAAACTGGGAGGAGTGAGATAAATAAAAATACATCTAAATGTTGCTAGGATCCTTCTCTCTGTCTCCCCACTTCCAGTCTATATGGTCAGAGTAAAGCAAGTATTAAAGTGACATTAGTTAATAGCAGATTTTCCTTTGTCTCCATATAGTTCAATAGTTATAGCAGATTTTCCTTTGTCTGCAAATCACTTCTTAGTGGGCAAAATGTTATTTCAAAACATCAGTCTCTGATGTTTTCTCACCATTTTGTCAAACTTTCCAATTAAAGAATGAAAAGAATAAGCCAGTACTAGTTTTATTTTAGAAGATGAAGCCCCTTTGAAAGAACTAAGGTCTCTTTTCAAACCTGCCTTTCCTTATTAAATATTAATAGACATACCTCAATAACCTTGACCTCCTTATGCAATAAAGAAAGAGAAAAGCAGAATCAACATGCCTGGGTTGATGATTAACTAATGATGATGAAGGACTGGGATTTGAGAAATCTTCTCATTTTCACTTCTAATAATCATTTTAATCAGAGTTACAGTTAAGATCCATGGGGAAAAAGATCTACTTGAGGCGGAAAGAGAGCAAATTCAGGGGGCATTTGATTAAATTGTTTCTGATGAATCCCATGCTCTCTACTGTCACAAACAGGAGGACCGTGACCCAAGAGACCATGGTGAAAGTTATTTCAGGTTGATCCACAACAAGATTATTCATAACAACAATGATGATGATAAGGTTTTAGCTTTTTCCTTCAGCAAGACTTGATTGACCACCTACTATGTGTCTAATGGTGGGCCTGCAAAGATTCTTCTGATTTTAAATAGTAAAAAAAATCTGGCCTTTAATTTAAAAATTACATATTTACATCTTCTTTTGTTAGCAATGATATAATTGCACCTGATCACTGTAAGGTTTTAAGAACAAAATCCCAGACATAACTTGACTTTTAAACAATCCCTCTGAGGAAATAGATATCTGGTTTCATCACCCAGCAGGTTCATTATTCACCTCATGAAAGTGTCAGATCCCCAAGACATTAAAAATGTCATCCAGTTCATCAACCTCATTTACACCCCATTCAGAAATACATCTGTTATACATAGAACTGAATTCCCTTGAATTTTTGAAATTTTTTTTTGTCATGCCCATAAATGCCTCTGGGACACTGGTCATTGTCAATCAAACATTTTTGGACAGTAAATGCCTCCTGGCATATGTCCTGACCAGAGCCACTCCCAGGGTTGTAAATTTCAGGCCCCAGCCTTGGTTCAACCTAGAACGAAAGCTGGGGGACTGTGTGGAGCCCAGACCTGGAGCAGAAGAAAGTTGCCCCAAATAGGTTGGGTCTTTGCAAGATGCCTAGGGGAAGCACAAAGTGTTCAAATTTTGTGCTTTCCAAGAAAGAGGAGGGGGCCCGGCCTGGTGGCGCAAGTGGTTAGCTGCACACGCTCCGCTGCCGCAGCCCAGGGTTCGCCTGTTCAGATCCTGCGTGCACACCAACGCACCACTTGTCAAAACCATGCTGTGGCGGCGTCCCATATAAAGTGGAGGAAGATGGGCATGGATGTTAGCCCAGGGCCAGTGTTCCTCAGCCAAAAAGAGGAGGATTGGCAGATGTTAGCTCAGGGCCGATCTTCCTCACAAAAAAAAAAAAGAAAGAAAGAAAGATGAGGGAGGAACACAGGGCAACAAAAGTCTCTTTCCTTCATAGCACTCCTTAGTGTCTGACCCCAGGGCATGCCTTATTCCACCACTTAAGGATGGACACCTAAGGCTGTCACCACTATGCCACCCCCACTGCCATCACTGTCTGCCGCAACCACCAGCACCATCATTTGTACCACCACTGCCACCAACCTCACTACCACAACCATCACCATTACCACCTCACAACCTCCACCATTGCCATTACCACCACCACCATCCCTACTAACACCATCACCATCACCATTACCACTGTTGCCACCACCACCTCCACGTTCACCATGACCGTCACTACCATCACCATCATCATCATTGTTGGCATCGATGAAGCATTTTCTCTAAGCCAGGTCTGGTGTTAATAGCTTTCTACACATTATCTCAGTTAATTCCCGTAAAACCCTATGTCACAACTACTGCTGTTAGCCTCATTTTACACATAAGGAAATAATGACTTCAAGATGCTAAGTTACTCTAACAAAATCAAGTGGTTTGTCGTGTGTGACCAGATCCCTCTGTTCTGCCTTCCTCTGCCTCTCTACTCTTCCCCAAATGGAATACTTCTCTAAACTGCTAACTTATGGATTAAAGTTCCTTAGGGAATTATGAAAACATAAGAAAGAAAGAGAGTGAGGAAGGAAGGAATAGAGGAAGGAAGGAAAGAAAGAAGGAGAGAAGGAAAGAATCAAATAAAACATTTCTTCTACATTAAAGTAAGATTTCAATGGCAAATTTCCAGTTCAAGAGAGTTTAAGTTTACTCTAAAATGTAACTGATCAAGGCCATATTCTACCACCCTCCAACATACATCTCTGGGCAGCTTTATCCAGGGGAAGAGAGGGGAAAAGCACAAGAGTATTGAATGCATGAAGGAAGGAGGGGAGGAGGGGCATAGGTAACGAAGAAATTGGGTGCAGGGAGCAGAAGCTGGGGCCCCTAGTCGACAGTTTCCCTTGCATGCCAGCCTACTAAGTAAGGTCCTCTGATGCCACTTGGGAGAAGGCAGGTAGATTTCCAGAGCTAAGATGATTATTTGGAGCTAGAACACAAGAACAGACCTTATGCCCAGGTAGAACACGGCTGGTATAGAATTGACCAAATCTTAAGTCTGTTGGGGGAGACCCCAGTCACAGACACAGAGACACACCAACACCCCTGTGCTGCAGGTCCAGACCTCCCCTCTCAGTTTGGAGGTGAGAAGGGAGGTAGGAAGAGGGATCTGCCAAGACCTGACTCCCTCGAGACAACTTCCCCATACTGTGACTTAAGAACCACCCATTGATACCTGGTCTCATCCAACTACAATAAGCGAGAAGTTGAGCTGATCTTCAGCTTCCTTAACCTGTCTACCCATTGTTGCTGACAAGAGCTGTTGAGCTCCTCACATCATTGTCTCCAGCCTCCATACCTTCCCTTCTTTTTTTTTTTTTTTTAAGCAATGAGTTTGTTTATTTATTTATTTATTTATTTTTTGTAAGGAAGATCAGCCCTGAGCTAACATCCCTGCTAATCCTCCTCCTTTTGCTGAGAAAGACCGGCTCTGAGCTAACATCTATTGCCAATCCTCCTCCTTTTTTCTCCCCAAAGCCCCCAGCAGATAGTTGTATGCCATAGTTGCACATCCTTCTAGTTGCTGTATGTGGGACGCGGCCTCGGCATGGCCGGACAAGCGGTGCGTCGGTGCGCGCCTGGGATCCGAACCCGGGCGGCCAGTAGCGGAGCGCGCGCACTTAACCACTAAGCCACGGGGCTGGCCCCCATACTTTCCCTTCTTACATCACACTTTGAGAGCCACTGCTTTGGATCAGGGAAATTCTAAACACTGGAAGTTCCTCTCCAGTCTGGCCCTAGATTACTTTTTCAACCTCCCATCCCTGATACTACATGCCCCAAGTTATGTGTCTGTACCCTCCTCCAGGCTCCCAGAGAACTTGTGCATCACTGTCACAGCATTTCTCACACACGATTACCACTCTTCAATTACTTGCCCACTCTGGCCCCACCCTCTCAAGACTGCATTCCACACAGATTGGAACTGTCCACTTTTGTTTTCTCTTGCCCTAGTAAGGCTGGTCATGGGTGGGACTCCATGAGGGTTTGAAGAATGAATGAATGAAGAATGAACGAATGAATGAAATGAGATTTTAAAACCTATAGTTACATGAGTCATATATATCTGTGTTCTTAGGCAGAGACCTTCAAAATTTTTTATTCATGACCCCCAAGAAGAAATATATTTTATATAGTGATTCAATACAGATATCCATATATATAATGGAAACAAGAATTGCATGAAACTAATAATTACTTACATGGCAGGTATTCTAATATACTCCATTCTATTCTATTCTATTCTATTCTATTCTATTCTATTCTATTCTATTCTATTCTATTCTATTTTTATTCTATTTCATTCTATTCCATCCCATCCCATCCCATCCCATCCCATTCCATTCTATTCCTTTACTATCCTAGCTTGAGTTTTCCAAGAAGTAGACCCTGAGACAAGAATTCAAATACAAGTCATTTACTTTGGAGGTGATCCCAGAAAACACCAGTAGAGTGGGGAAGTGAGACAGGGAAAGCAAGGCAGCCAATGAAAGTGTAGAATGTATGCCTTACCTCAGAGTCATCCCACCCAAAGGGTCTGATCAAAGCTGATCCCAGTGGCAAAAGAGAAGCCCTTGTCAAAGAAATGCAGGTGCTGCCAGTTGAAGATGGCTGGTGTGTACAGACATGCTAAGGGGAGAGAATATGGGTGGGACACTGGCAGCATCTGCCATACATATTATTTCGTGTTTTTAGAACATCTGGGTCACTATCCACTATATTGATTTCATGATCTACTCACGGATTGCATCCCAGTTTGAAGAGCAGTGTTAATGTTCTAAGATGATATTTCCTAAAGAGTGGTCCCTACAGTCTGTGTACTCCTGGTGGTCCATGAAATGAGTTTAGGTGGTACATGAATGAGTATTTTTTAAAATTAATCTTCATTAAAAATTGCAACCTGCATTAGGAGAAAAGGTAAAATTAGCATTTCTATGATATAGAAGTTTCTTCCCAAATAAATATATTTAAGGAAAAAACACAAATTGATTTAAATATAAATATTGAATAAGTGATACATGGGTATGGGGAGAAAACGGGAAGGTGATGCTTGAAAGGATGGAGCTCAGGATCCTTTGCTCCAAAGGTGCCCCTTTATTGCAGTCCTCTCTGCTTTGGCCTTCCAGTCTAACTGTGCTTTTCCCTTGCAGAGATTTGGCTACGGAGGCTGGGTGCAGCTCCAACACCACAGCACGGTGAGTTTCTCCCAAAGCGTGAGCATGCCTCAGATCCACGGACACCCTGAGCCTGAGACCTTCCTGCAGGCGGGCCCCCAGGGAGCTCAAGCTTCTGCCCTCCTATTGACTTTATGTAGGCAAGGCAACAGCACTGAGGTTTCTCAAATGATTAGGAAAAATGGAGGTAACTTCAAAGAGCAACATTTAGGAAGATAAAATTGGAATTTGAGAAGCCAGTAAGAAATCTCTCTCTTTTTTTTTTCCCCTAGAACCAATTTTAGCATTTATCACTCTGCCTCAAGGAAGTGACCTGGCCCTCTCCACAGGTTATTACAGAATATTAAGGCCAACCAAATAAATGGAACAATTTAGGTTTGAGCACAAGCTGGAGAAATTAAACATTGGAGACAAAGAGGAGAAGAAGCCACTGTGATTAAAGGTTGAGTTTGGTAAGAGGAACAGGCAAGAGGAGGAAGGCTTGGGGCAAAGCATTCTGGAAATAATGAGGCCTGAGAATGAGCTGGAAGTCTGGGGCTGCACAGAGGTCAGGTCCGACTTCATTTTCAGAGGCATCATATGCCATCGTGGAGGGAACATTCCTGAGCTTCCAGCTGGAACACAGATATGACCAAGGCAGGCCCTGGAGGACTCGTGGTCTGGGAAGCGCAGTTACCATGTGAAGGGGTAATACAATGCAGCGTGATAAGGTTAGGACTGCTTTTGCACCAGGTACTGGGCACCAAGAATTGGAGAAGCCCTCCTGGAGGAAGTGATGCTCATCCTAAGTCTTGGAGCAAGGATGAAGGCTTGTCCAAGGAATAAAGGAAACAAGGTTCCAAGAAGAGAAGACAGGGAGCAAAGGCATGGAGATATTAAGCATATGTAAGCCTAGAACTCAAGTACACTGCTATGGCTGGTACCGGCATTTCTCAAATTGTGGCCCCGGACTGGCAAGTTCAGCTTCACCTGGGAACTTGGGAGAAATGCAAATTCCTGGGCCTCATACCAGACCTACCAAATCAGGAACTCTGAGGGTCAGGCCAGCCATCTGACACAAGCCTCCAGGTGATTCTGATGCTCACTCGAGTTTGCGAACCACTGGGTTACATACATTCACCAACTCACTGATTTTTATTGACACCTATTTTGTGCCAGACCCCCCAGTCTAAACACTGGGAATATGCTGATGAACAAGGCAGACATACTCCCTGCCCTCATGGTGCTCAAATTCTAGGAGGAGATAAACAAACGTGATCACTTCAGAGAATGGAATAGAAAACAGTGCTGTAATAGAGAGTGACTGGGAAGATTCATTTCGGCTGGCTGGTCAGGAAGCTAGCTAAGACTTGAAGGACAAGAAGAAAAGCATGGAAGAGTGTCTCTGGCTGAGGGAACAGCAGGTGCAAGGGCCACCATGTGAGGAAGAGCTGTGTTCAAGGAACAAAAAGGAGGGCAATGCGGCTGAGATGTAGTGAAAGAGAGAGATGGTAGGAAATGAAGCTAATGAGGTAAGCAGGGGCCTGATCACAGAGGGACCTGTAGCACATGCAAAGGAGTCTGGATTTTATTCTCAACGCAAGGCAAATTCTTTGGAGGGTCTTAATGGCTTAAAAAGACCACTTTGGCTTCTCTGTGAAGAATGGATAGAGGCAGGCAAGAGTTTGGGGAGTAAAGTGGTGAGAAACTGGACAGGTGGGCAGAAGCCTCCTCAGATAGGGCCTTGGAGGATGGGTTTAGGCCTTTGTACTTGGTCCTGAAGGCAGTAGGGAATCATTAAAGAGTTTTAAACATTAGAATCTCTAGGGCAGCTCATTCTCACCTTCATCAAAGAGCACCCACTAAGTGCCAATATAGACTCTGGGCTGCACTCCTCCCATGAAAAGTGCTGGTTCCTGGCCTGAGAGCTGGGGCTCTAAGCTTGCCTCACATCTCCCCCAGGGAGAGAACAATCTGAGTGGAGAGGATTACAAGGCTACTAGGAAGAAGCCCCAGATGCAGGGATGGGCAGCCTGTAATTTTTTTTTACTCCATGTCCCAAGCTGCAGTTTGTAACCTCAACACTGGTTTTAAATGGCCTTCATTTCACTTTGTTTTCGTGTCAAGAGACTGCATAAACTTAACAGCAAATCTCAAAAAGAGAAAAAAAGAAAACAAAAACAAGAAAGAAAATATTTCCAGTCATATCTCCTACCCACATATTCCTGGCAAAATTGGATACAATGGTAGTCTAATAGAACAAAACAGTGACATGCTCCCTCCCTCTCTCAAAAACAAAACAAAGCAAAACAAAACAGAACCAAATCTGTATTTTTCATAATTACAGCAGTCAGGGATTACAGTCACTGGAAAACAACATGCAAATATATGCAAATATGCAAATTAGGATAAGAGCAATGAGAAAATCCAGTATTTGGGGTTGACATTTCTTTTTACTCTCCTACATTCCTTTGGTGAACAAATATTTTCTATCCCCTATGAGTGATTTACCTCAGAAATTGTTGTTCTCTGAAAGGTCTTTCCAAAACATTTCTTTGGTTTGCCCTATTTGTTTCTCTTCTTAACCTTTGGTTTTTCAAGTCTTTTGAAATGAATGGAGGGGCGTTTGTTTGCCACAGTATAACTGTTCAGAATTGAAAAACATCATTTGTCCTCTGGTTGAATATTTATAAAAGTATAGGTAGCAGGCCAGTTTGTGTGGCCTCCTCTCAGGAGCTGCGTGGGGTAGGGGTAGAATTGAGTCCTGATGGCAAAAATCGCCTGGGGGCAATTCAAAGGAGGGTAGACACAGGGCTTATTTCAAATCCATGGGTCAGCAGCATCTAGAAACATCCACTGAGTGTTTTTCAGGCCCTTGGGAATATAAACACACACACACACACACACACACACACACCATTTCTATCACACTTGGCATTTTTACACACACCACTCTGCGTGATCTCCAATCATTGGGTCTCTGCTCTCAAAATGATTTCCCCCTTTGTCGGGAGCTAGGAAGACACTCAATGGATAAAGAACATACAGGTATTGACAATTTTGTGCTAACTGAGCAAAAGAGACAATAAATAGTAAGGGCGTTCATGGGAGGTGGCAAGTCCAAGGCAGGGGGCAATTTTCATGGAGATAAAAAATCATAGAACTGTAGGGCTAGTGACCATCTAGTCCAGTGTTTGAAAATATGGTTTACAACCCAATAGTGAATCATAACATCAATTCAGTGGGTTAGGACACCTTTGAAAACAAAATAGATTAGAAAATAAAATAGCAGAATGCACTTTTCATGGTAAGAGTAGATATTGTTTCAGGAAACTTTTGTCTCAATTTGTATCTGTATAAATAGATATATATGGGTGTACTAGGTCACAACGGAAAATATATTTCTTAATGTTAGTTCATAGCCAAAATTGATTGAAAGCCATTAATCTAGTCCAGTGCCCTCATTTCATGTTTTTTTAAGGTTAACTTTTCATTACATAAGTAATATTTGAATAAACTCTCCTTTTTAAATTTAAGCTATTGGAGATAAAGCCACAGTTCCCTTGGATCAGCACTCCCCATCCTCAAAAGTAATTCCTATTAACAGTTTGGTGAGTATCTTTCCAGACCTTTTCCTATGATTTCACTCATATATACATGCACCTATAGAAAGGACGTAGTATTATTTAATATGTTTATGTACATATTTTTAGCTAAATCAATCAAGTTCCAAACAGAAAACAAACGGCACACTTAAATTAGAATGCTTTGAAAGGAGTTAATAAAGAGCCTGTTTATAAAGGTGTAGGCATGTGATGCAGGTGTAGAGGTGGACAGGCATTAGATCACGCAGGGTCTTACAAGCCAAGTTAAGGAGTTTGGATTTTACCTTCAGGGCAATGGGAATCCATTCAAGAATTATAAGTGGGGAGGTGGCAAGACTTGAGTTAGGGTTTTAAAAGTTTACTCTGGCTGCTTTGTGGAGACTGGGCTGGAGGGGAGCAAGAGGGAAAGCAGAAAGAGCTCAGGCTGGAGGCTGGAGCAGTTGTTCAGGTGAGGGAAGATGGGCTTGGACGAGGGCTGGAGCAGTGGAGATGGAGAGAAGTGGACTGTTGCGGGGTTTATTTTGGAGATAGAACTAATGGCATTGGGAAATGCATGGGATAGTGACATGTCAGGCAGGAGGAATGGGAAAAATGATGTAGTCTCAGAGGGATGAGAAAGATAAAGCAGGCATCAGAAACAGAAGCAGCCAAGCCAGGATGACAAGAGGGTCTGAGAGAGCGATGAACAATAGGTTGAGTGAATAGAGTTTGAGGCGTTTGTAGCAGAGCCTCCTGTGGAGCTGACCTTCAGAACCCTGTAATGTGAGAGTTGGAGTGATTACAGAGGTTGCTTCCTAGTGACAGCGTCTGGGCCATTTCTGCCAACTCTGTACCTCAAGCCCAACCAGCATATCAGCTTGCATGGTCTAGAGGGATAGCCTGAGTGGACGTTGGGGGTAGGGAGAGGAGAATGGAAATCTGATGGTTTGAAAATACATTTTTAATGATACACGCCGTACCAGATTTGCAATACCAGCCATATTTGAACTTATTTGTGGATAGTATTAGAATTAGAACTTAATAATCGAAGTGTCACAGGTTAGGTTCCTTGGGAATCAGACTCTGAGATGGATATCACCATGCAGGAGGTTTATCAGGAAGGGCTCTTGGAGCATAGTAGAAGGGAGGAGAAGAAAGCAGGGTAGAACAGAGGGCAATGTTGAGCCGGGATGCAGTCTCAATGGAGGCCACAGCTGACCCTACAAGGAGCTCTAAAGCTAACCTTCAGAGTTGTCCTAAGTTGGGGGGGTAATTGGTGGGTCTTGACACCACCGTATGAATCAGTCACTGGAAGTGGGCTGCTCTGGAAATGACATAGGACCTTGAGGCAAGTGGTTGTCTTCAGTCAAGGCAGTCTTCCTATCTCCCCACAGAGGCTGATAGCTGAGGGCTGTCTGCCGGCAATGATCCCTGAAGCTGAGAGAATAAGTCCTTTATTCTTTTTTTTTTTTTTTAATTTTTTATTTATGTATTTTTTCCCCCCAAAGCCCCAGTAGATAGTTGTATGTCATAGTTGCACATCCTTCTAGTTGCTGTATGTGGGACGCGGCCTCAGCATGGCCGGAGAAGCAGTGCGTCGGTGCGTGCCCGGGATCCGAACCCGGGCCGCCAGCAGCACAGCGCGTGCACTTAACCGCTAAGCCATGGGGCCGGCCCAGTCCTTTATTCTTGAAGGGGGATCTCGGTGGCACATCACATCATCCTGGGAAAAGACCTTAGACCTCACTTTCTCTCAGCCCTTCTTTTATACTCAGAATTTGAGGTCCTGGGAGGGTAAGTTATTCACACACAGGATCCAGGTCTCCTGACCCCTGCAGTATCATGATTTCCACTATAGCATGCTCTTCTGGCTTAAAAAATATTTGAGGTTTGTTTGAAATGAGTTATCTGGGTGGTGACAGTTGGTTGGGGATTTCTTAATTTAAAAAGAACTTGGTTTTCTTTTGAGAGTTTAGAAAAAAACAGAATTTGTTTCTGGGTTGAACAAATTAGAGCAGCTTTCTCCAATTACTTGGTTATTAGTTTAGTTTAAGATCTTGGTTGTACAGAGGTCAACACTAAAAACAGAAACTAAGAGATGCCCCAGTGCCTCCCACAGCAGCAAGTGCGGACCTCTGAGGCACATTTATAGCCCTGCAGGGATCCTGGGTTCCCAAATGTAAAGTGAGAGGGATCAGGAACTGATTCCCTACAATGGCTGTCAGGTCCCAAAATTCTGGCTGAAAAAACAATGGGAATTGGGAGCCTATTATAGGAGCACAGATGGTCTGTGGTAATTTTCACTCAGAAAGAGTTCCACTGTTGGTTGGTGTCATTCATTTGCCTTACCACGGATCCAGCATGAAGGACACGGAAAGAGAAGTTTAGTAAATCTGATTCTCCTGCAATGTAATGAGGGCAATCCCCCCAGAAGATCAGACTCTTTAGGAAATTATAGTAATTAACCTTTGCCTACTAGATAGACATCAATTACCAAATATCAGCCTGGTGGGGTGGAAAATGGCTTCATAAACCTGGGTTCTTGTCCCAGCTCTATACCAACTAGGTGCTCTATACGAGATAAGCTCCCTACCACTGCACCTCATGGACTCATTGGTAAACGCAAGAGTTGAACTAAATGATCCATTTCTGCTTTAACATTTGCTTTGTCTGAAACCAAAACTTACTCATTCACCTCCCAGAGAAAACCAATTTCCTCCTTTGCCATTGATAATACAGTAAAATCTGGCCATCACGGATTGAGCATGCTCTCTGGCCTGGTGCTAAGTTCTTTACAAACATTCTACTATTAAATCACTCAGTGTTCTTAGTTGCAAACAACAGAATCCACTTAACTAAAAAAGCAGCTCACAGACTTCCTGGGAGGGCCGGAGATCAAGCTCAGAGGCTGTGCTATAATGCACAATGCCCAATCATTTCTGGGGTGCTGCTCCAGCAAAGACATAGGTGCTGCCACTCGTGGTCACAGACAGGAAGCTCATGCTGATGATGCTGAGATTGGAAACCAAAGTGTTGCAGTTTCTGCTCCAGCCATGTCTGACACCTTAGGCAACACCCTTGCCAAAAGGTGAATTCTGCACGGTCCCTGCTTTCTCACGGTGCTCACCTCCAAATCAAAGTCTTATATGGGGCCTCTGATTGGCAGAGCCTAGAGCACATGCCAGTGCCCTCACTACAAGGAAGGCTGAGAAAGTGAATTCTGGATTCTCCCTCAGGAAGGGGGAATCATAAGGCAAAAATGTCTTCACACATAGGAAGTATTCCAAAGATGTTGGGTGGCCACAAGCATGACAAATAAAATGATCCACATTTTACAGATAGAAAAAGTGAGGTTTAAACTCAGAAGGGCTATAACTTAGAGAGTTATACTGCTAGTAAGTAATTTAATGAGATTTAAACCCAGGTCTGTTGGAATGCAAAGACAATGCTCATCAGCACTCTGCTATACTGGGTATTTTATGATGATTAAGCTTTCCTATTAAGGAGCAAAAGGAATTTGCCAAATGAAAGTTTGTTTCCCAACTTTTTGTCCTACACCATCACCCATCTCCACTTCCTTCTTCGCCAAATGGAAAGATATGTGTTCCTATATCGTTTTTGTGTGATCAATATCAGTCAGGACTCTTGGTTGCAAACAAGAGAAACCAATGACAGTTACTTTAAGCAGAAGAGAAATTTGTTGAAAGTATTTTAAGCCCCTCAAGAATTACAAAATGCCTAAGAACCCACATTCATAAACATGCAGAAACTAAGGGAAACCAGGTGATTGAAGCTATAGCCAAGGCCGTGCCACAGGAACAGCCTGGCTAGGGAGCTGCTGCCTCCCAGCTAGACACTGGACATTGCCACCAGCACCACTGCCAATGGACATAGCACGTGGCCACTGCTGGAATCACTGGCAGAATAAATTTAGCTGTTCCTGTCTTTTTGCCTCTCTTGCTCTTGATTCAAAATCAAGCATTGATTGGCCAAGTTTGGGGCAAGGAGAGCAAGTATTGGGCTTTTGGGTTTTAGTAGAGGGAGGCTGGGCCCTGCCTCCACCAAGACTCTCACAGGAGATTCCCCAACCCAGGAAGGTGGTTCAGATGCCAGCATGGTCAGCAAAGGATGAGAACTGAGGCAAATCAATCCTGATGTCCTGATGTCAGAGACTCAGCTCTGCGTGGATACAGACACCTGTCACAGTTACCCAAGTCACTTGCTCACTGACCTGTTCCCCAGTCCATGAGAAATGAAAACATGGATATGAGGTCTTCCTCATGTATGCGAGATGTGAACTGCCACACTTGAAGGTGAAAAGACCTTCTCTATGCAGGAGATGGGGGAGGTCTTGTCCATGGAATCGAAGGATGAACAAGGAAGCTATGGCAAGGCCTGAGTGCAAGTCGTGATCAAGCCAAGAGGAAGAGGAGGAGGGCAGAGGACTCCACCAAGCATAGCTTAAGGCTTTTGACCACCATCTGCCCACTTGGCCATCACAGAGGGCCCAAGGGCATCTTGAGGCCCTGAAGCACCACCAGAGGGCGTGTGGCCTCAAACCATCAGGAGACAACCTAGTCTTTAATTAGCCATATATCACTAATAACTAATACTAACACACTTAACATGTGTCAGATACTCCACTATGTGCTTTATCCCATTATCCCATTTTGCTCACAAGATTCCCTTAAGGTAAGTCATATTATTATCCCTATTTTAAAGATGCGCAAAACCTCAGAAGCTTCTATACAAAACAGCAAGCAGGACAGAGCCTCAGACTCCACAGATATTTGGTGTCACAAAGCAGAAGAAACCATGGAGCCATGGCTGAGTGGGATGAGTTTGAACTAACTTGTGCCATCTGCCAGAATGATCTAAAGGAAGTGGTCACCATCAAATGTGACCATGACTTCTGTCCTACCTGTATTGCTCTCTGGGCCAAAAGAAGTCCAAGTCCTACTTATGAGTGTCCTGTATGCTGGGTGATATGCTGGAAGAAATTCCTTGTGGAGCTGAAGGAGCTGCAATGAAGACAGGGTGACTGAAGAACCAAGAATGTTCTTTCCTCCCTAAAGCAACAGCTGAGCTGTCACTCCACCTGGGCCTGGGCAAGAGAAGAAGGCTTTGCCCTGGTTATGTCAAATCCTCCAGGAGATCCAATGAGTACAGCACAGACACTTTGAATTTAAGTGACAAATAGAGGAAGGTATTCAGATGTTCCAAATTCAACATCACTGCAGAGCATAATAACATATTTGGCTTATGGAACCTCTGCTCAGCCAACTCAAGTATACTGTTCTTTGTCTCCATGGATGGGAATCTGTGCCTTTTCTCACAGTCTTTCCGATCTCCATGTTTATGACCTAGTTTTTTAGTCGTAGTTTATGAACTTGTCTTTTTTCCTTAACTATATATCCTTGAAGTCTTCCTCAGTCAGAGAAAGTATCTTGCCCACCTTAGGTGCTAAATAAACATTTGTTTAATAAATTAAAGATAAATAAATAAAGATGAGCAAATTAAGGCTCAACGATGTTTTTTAACTTGCTCAAGGCCACACAGTAAGTGGTAGAATGGGGATTTGAACCTGAGCAGTCTGATTTTAGGGACGTGGATCAGAACTTTCCCCTCTCTTGAGGGATCACAAACTGCAGGCCCAATTTAGAGGCCGCTGCCATGCTTTGTACAGCCATTTAGTTCAGCCCCCCTGCACTGAGTATTAAAAGGTAGTGTACCCAGGCAGGCATGATGCCTAGCGGAAGCTAGCAGCTCAGTACCAAATTTCGCATGTGCTGCTAGGCCGATTCACTTCATTGTCCGCCTTCTCCTGCAGGTACTGACATCAGTAGACTGTGCTCTGTTAGACAAATTATTTACTCTCACTGTCCATCTGTTGTTTCTCTATAAAAAAAGAGAGGTTGGACTAGACGATCTATCTCCAAGGTCCTTTCCAATTCCAAAATGTTATGAATCTAGAATTTTCCAGACACTGGGCCATCCTCTTGGGTCTTATAGCCAGCAGTTCAGATCAGTAAGGTGACCAGTTATCCTCAGCCATGCAGCCCCAGAAGGCCATGACCATGACCCTTCTTCTCTCTGTGTCCAGCCACTGAAACTCACAGAGCACACCCCTTCAAACCCAGGCCAATATTAAGGCATGAGGATGAAAAATTGAGTTCCGTTAAATGAACAGATTCCTACTTCTTGGAGGATTAAATAAAAACCACTAAAAATCTTAGGGGATAACCACGTTCCAAAGTATACAAAGAGGGATTAATCTAAGTAAGCTTAGGTCGCCTTTTGCTGATGTGGGATTTCTGCCCTAGGGAGAAGCAAAGATGCTGAAAGATGGAAAAGTCTTCAGAGTGGTCCAAGAGAACTGCTGGGATCCAGAAGTCCGTATTAGAGAAATGGACCAAACAGGTACTTCCAACGAGAAATGCTACCAATGTTTGCATCTGATGTAAAAGCAACATCTGCCCCTAAAATCTGTTGGCGACTTTACATGAGTTATGTGACGGCAACTTGTGATCCCCTTTTCTCCACCAGGCCACGCCATTCCAGCTTTGCTGGGGGGCGGATGGGACCTTCCACTATAACTTTTTTTGAGTGTGGATTTAAAATTTCTTAAAATTAGGTATACACTGTTTTAAAATAGAATGCTATATGATCAAAAAGATAAAGTGGCATTTTATTATTAAAAAAATTTAAGTTCAAATTCATAGTACTTATAGAGCCAATTAAAACAGTAAAAATTAGAATTCACAGATTAAGGATGCCAATTGCCTGCTTAGTCAGATTCAGGATCTAATTTCTTTCTGTAGTTTGTTTTGGTGCACAGTACACAGAATATCCCCATTGACACGTTGAAAATGGGAGCAGTTTTTTAAAAAAGTTAATCGTGTAATCTCAGAATACTCTACAATGAAACCAATCCAGAAATTGAAAAAGGAGAATTAGAAAATTCTTGTTTCAAAGCTGAATCACTAACAATTTCTAAGAACTGCTTGCATTCCTAACTTATATTTAAAAAATCAAAGTTCTCACAATTTAAAAGAATTTCAAAAACTATCTAAAATATGATATGACAGCCACTTGTTACTGCCTGGCTGACTGTGCCACTAGAGGAGAGTGTGCTCCAAGAAGAGCACCCAGCCTTCTGGATGCACGTGGGCTGTGCCCTGGGCTGTGATGGGGAACTCACCACAACAAGACTGTCAGGCCTAAATTTTGACATCAGTGGTCTAGATTTAAATCAGAAAAAAAACAATTCATACACATAAATAAAAGAGCACCTTAGAACTACCAACTTCCTAATCAAAGACAAATTTATAAGAAGTTCAAATATATACACAGAGATGGAAGGAGACAGTTTATTCCACGGTCTGTACAAAATGAGTTAACCTATTAGCTCCAAATGAGGAGGTGGTCTCTGGCAGTTAGAATTTGGTGCAGGGTACATTGGGCCAGATATTGCTTTATAGATTTTTTTAAATAATTAAAAGTATATTTAAATGGCATTCAAATTGAACTTTGCAGAAAGCCTGAAGCACCTCTGTAGACCATTCTGCAGAACATGTTGTATATGCCCCTGTTCTAGAATGGGGGCAGGAGGGTAGCTGGAGAGAGAACAAGCTTCCCAGACTTACAGCAAAGAGCAAGGCTTTGCTCTAAATGTGAAGCATGAGCGGGACCCACTCTCTCAAGGAGAAAACTAGTGGAAATGAGACTCAGATAACTGGTGTCAGAACAATTGCTTATGACTGCAGTTTAGATGAAGTGTGTCTCCTTTGGTTTTTGTTGTGTTTCATTCCATGGCTATCCTTGAAACAACAGCCATGACTAACCCTTGCTGAGTATTTACTTTGTGCCAGGTACCGTTCTCAGCACCTAACGTGTATTAACTCACTTAATCCCCATAACAACCATAGAAAGTAGCATCTATTATTATGCCCATTTTACAGATGAAGAAACTGAGGAACAGAGGTTAAGCAATTTGCCCAAGATCACACAGCTTGTAGGGGACAGAACCAAGATTTGAACCCAGGCAGTCTGGCCCCAAAGGCTTACCAAGTGCATCCTATCACCTCTGTGGAGGTAAGAAAACAAAATGATGAAGGCCCAACACAGAAGATGTCATCTTCACAGGGAGAGAAATGTAATTGGCAGCCCCTGGGACACTTCATCACAAGATCTAACACAGAGCCGAGAAAGACCAAAACAATAAGACAACAATGGGATGATATATATGTAAGCGTCTCCTAAATACTCAACTAGGTGGGTTCCTATACAAGCTGGTTCTGGAGTAGACCCGGGAAGGTCAGAATTGGTGAGGAATCCAGGCCTGGTGAGGGTTAGGGTGGGAGCTCAGTCCTCTCTGCAGGAAGGAGGCTAAGGGGCCCCAGAGGAGCCAGAGGGTTGGTGTTGCACAAACCTGCTCACATTTAATCCTCTCTGAACGTCTCTGAGTGGCAGGCATTGTTGTATCTGTTAAACTCAAGGAGGTTAAGTGATTTGCTCAGGATTACACAGCTAGTACGTAGCAGAGCTAGGATTGTACCTAAGGCTGTCTCTCTTAGTCCACCACAAAAGATTTCCCAAGGCTCTCTCAGGATAAGGACCACCTGGGGTGCTTGTTAAAATTTTTTTTCAAGCCCCATCCACTGAGTCAGAATTTCCAAAGGAGGATCTAGGAATTTGTTTCTATAATGTTCTCTTTCCCCCCACCCCCATTTTAATCAACAGGTAAGTTTGGGGAACATTGTGCTATGCCATACTGTTAAACACCCCTTTTAAAAACTATAAACTCTAATTGGATTAGACTTGTTTTTTGCCCTCTTGGTTCCCAGAGACCAGAGAATATGTATCGAACCAACCAACACACAAATAATGCAGTTTTCTATGTTAGTATAAAAAACGGTGACAAGTGATGGCCACTGGGGTGTAGGGAAGGAGCAATGCCGGACAGGAGCCTCATCCCACCACTGCCAAGACATATGACCTTAGATCTAATCTATAAAATGGAAAAATTAAACAGAGCAATGTAAGCGAAAGTATTTACATAAAATGTAAAGATTTTACAATTGCAAGGGACTCATCTGTTTTATATTAATCAATGGATGTAAATAATATCTTGTGACACTGTTTAACAACGCTCTCTAATCAAAAGCTGTAGTCTCTAGTCCTCGCTAAACAATGATTTATTCTTTTTTTATTGGGTATATTCAACATGCCAGGCATGTCCGTGTCTGGACACCTGGGATACAGCAGAGACAGCCAGGCTCATGTGGTGTTTACCATCAAGTAGCGGGAGGCATAGAATAAACAACTAAACACAGTAATGACAGGCTGTAATAAGTATTAGAAAAGGAAAGGAACAGAACAAATGGAATAGAGAGTGGCTGGAGTTGGGGAAGGCATCTCTAAGGAGATGACATTTGAACCAAGACCTTAGAGTGAAAAGCAGCCCATCCTGTGATGAGCCAAAAGAAGAGAATTCCAAGCAGGTGAAACAGCAGTGCAAAGGTCCTGGGGCAGGAAAGAGCTTCAAAGAACAGGCAGCAGGCCAACGAAGCACAATGGGAGCCCTGGGAGAGATTATGTGGGGCCTTATAGACCATGTTCAAGTCTGGATTTTACTCTAAGAGTGATGAAAAGTCCTTAGAAGTTTTGAGCAAGGGAGTGATTTGATCTAAGTTTTAACCCTTACTCTGACTTCCGAGCAGAGAACAAACTGTAAGAGGACAAGAATGGTGGTGGGAGACCAATTCAGAGCCTTCTGCAGTGGTCCATAGGAGATGCTGGTGGCTTGGGCCAGGGAGTGGCAGGGGATGGGGAGAGGTGGGTGGATAAAAGGAACTGGAGTGGAGTTAACAGGACTTTCTGGTGGGTTGGACGTGAGTATGAGGGAAAGAGGAGCCATCCTCAGTTTGGCAGCGTCACTCCTGACAACTCAGCTCCAGGAGCTTAAAGACAAAGGATTCTAGGCATCCTGGATGCTGGATTCTGGAGGCAAACACAGGGTCTCATTCTGAGCATTCCAGACAGTGGCACTCCACCCAGGCTCACTCAGGAGATGAATTAAAGGGGCCAGAAAGGTGACTGAGAAATACACTCCGTCATGCATGACCTAAGATGAAAAGCTCTGAAAGAATTGGCGGGGAAATGTATTGTTTAAACAAAACTTCACAGGAAGGAGCGTAGTAATAATCCTTGACAGATGGAGTAAATTAGTTTTTCTTGAATGATCTCATTTTTGTCCAGCCTTTACCCCTACCCCTAGAACTGAGGCTGAGGGATGAGGGAGGCCTGGGACAGAGACGTGAGAGAAGGGGAAACAGGGAGCAGCAGCGAGGGAGGGGAGAGCAGGAGGAGGGTGGGATGGAGACTCACTGGGCTCCTTGGCCCTGGGAAATGCAGGAGTGCCTGGGCAGTTCGTCTCATCTGCTTTGCCTTTCTTTGTGTCTGTGTCTAGGAGTGACCTTGCAAGCCCTTTCCACGGTTCCCGTCATGTTTAGCTACTGGGTGAGTGAGAAACCTCAAACCACGTCTTTGCTGGGCAAAGGCTCATGCCCAGCTCCCTAGCAAGTAGACAGGTACCCCAAGCCTTGACACTGGCTCCCAACTCTCCTCCCCTTTAGAGATCAGCAGGGTCCCTCAGCTTCTCAAACTGCAGTGTCCCCTCCCAGGCCTGTCTTCCTAGTCATGTCGTCACCCTAGACCCACACAGTCCAGGGTGGTAGCCAGCAGTCACATGTTCCACCGGACAGCATAGTTCTAAGACCCAACCTTAATCTCCACCAGAACTTACCTGTCTGATGACCCATTCCTGCAGTGCCTTGCTCAGTAATTGACAAGCCAATTTATTCTGGGGTGGTAATGAGAATGATAATAATGGCCTAATATGTTGCCTCTCCCAGGGAAATATACAATTCAAAATGAGGTTCCTGGGGTTGGATGCCTTTTCCCAAGTGATCAAGTCGCGACTGTTAAGCTTCAGGCATGATTGCAGTCCTGTGGGAGGATGTTGTACATAGCTGGGGATGTGCTAAGTACCTCCTCAACCAAGTAAACATTCACTGGTGTTGTGAGTTAAGGAGCACTGGAAAGACCACCTGCTCACACATACTTCCCCCACCTGTGCTCATAATTCTGGTTTTAGTGATTTAGTCTGTTCCTGTGATTAGATTCACTGCTTGAAATAAAAATGCTCTAAGACCTACAGATGCCTGAACTTATCAGACTGGGTACCATTCTGACTGGACAACTGGGAGTGCAGGAGAGGACCAAATTCCTGGCCCTGGGGGGATGATGTTGAAAGGAAGGAAACCTGAAGAAGGGCAAGTGAGGGAAACAGAAAGCAAACTTCATCTGCCGCAGCATTTGGCTAACTCTGAGTGTCGCTGCCAACGGGAAGGACAGAGAAGAGGACAGACCAGAACAGGAGAGGTCTGTGAGCAGCCTGGCATCCCACAGTGAGGCACGACAAGGAGGTGTGCTGATGGTGGCACCAAGCACTGGGTCAGGGCCAGCCTCCTGCGTGTGTATGTGTGCGGGGAGGGGCCCTGGGTGTGCAGCCCTGCAGGCCCCAGGCTGCAGTTGGTGGGTGGGCCCACCCTCGTTCCAGCTCTAGCACAGGATGCCAGGCCCGGTAATCATGTCCATCCTTTCTGATGATAGTCTCAATTTTTCTAATTAATCAGCAACATACTAGCAGTGTTCTTTGCGTTTGCAATGATTGGCTTCTGGGTCCCCTGTAGCCAGTGCCTATCTCAATCTGTGCCTCAGTTTTCTGAGGGATAAAGCCACTGACGGTGACAAATGATTTAGCCCAGGGGAGGTGTTGTTCAGAGTAAATACCTATAGAAGTGGGTTTTGAATGATTTGGTTTCCCTTACTTGTCTCCACCAGGCCAAACCTCAGGACACTTTAGACCTGTGCCAGCTTCTAAACAACGACCTAGCTGCCACTGTCGCGAGCCACCCCAGGAGGTTTGTGGGTCTGGGGACATTGCCCATGCAGGCCCCGGAGCTGGCCATCAAGGAGATGGAGCGCTGTGTGAAGGAGCTGGGCTTTCCAGGGGTCCAGATCGGCTCCCACGTCAACCAGTGGGACCTGAACGCGCAGGAACTCTTCCCTGTCTACGCAGTGAGTACGCGGCGCTCGCTCAGCCAACACGCAGCCGGGTGGCCACTGCGCTGGGTGCTGGCAGGAAGATGACTGAGCCACTTGACTGGGAGGTAGGGAGATGCCTGATGACAGCATAGTTGTAGGGCAAAACGTGGGAAGAGCTCCGCAAAGGAGTGGGATGTTCTACTAGAAGAGGAACAGATGGAAATGCTTCCTAGGCCAGCCCTGGGTTAACTCACTGAAATCTCTCTTCTTTCTATCTCCTTTGCTCTCCTCTTCGTCTATCATTGGAAGCCAAAATATTACCCTTACCACAGCAACTGTGCAAAAGAACCATGTTAGTGACATGCAAAAAAAAAGTACTTATTTTTGCTTTGGAAAAAAATTATTATTTTTCAAAATTATAAAGCAATTTTGAAGAAATTGTGGAAAATACAGAAAAGTATAAGAGAAAAACAAAAATAACCCATAATCCTGACACCCAAAGATAAATAACCACCGTTATAGTACATTTCATTTGTATTTTTATTTGCATATATCTGCATAAATTTATAATTTAATGAAATTAGAATTCTAATATACATGTGATTTCGTATCCTAATTGAGAATTTCCAACCTAAATGAAAATTCTCCTAATGCATGATTTTTAAATAACTGCATAATAATCCAATATATGGATATGTTTTGATTTATTTAACTAATCCTCAATTAAGACACTTTTTAAGCCATGTATTTTGAAAATGTATAATAAAAATACATAGCAAAAATTGCCATCAAAATGTTAACATTTGATAAAACTAGATGGTGAGTATGTGGATGTTCATTGTACTATTGTTTACAATTTTCTATGTTTGAAACATTGTATAATAAAATATATTTTCAAAAACTTAGTACCATCCCTTTCTGAAGTATCCAACTGAAGTGTCCACGGTCCCATGGTCCTCTCCACAAGTCTTCCTCTACTTTCTGTTCTTTCTGCAACTAAACCTGCTTTCCTTAGTACCAGGATTCGAGATGTATAATTCTTTATTCAATTGCATTTTTTTCTTACTTCCCTCCTAGACTTATAATAGTATTGTTTCCTGTTAATTTCATTGTAAATGCAAAATATTCAATAGTGAATTAAATAGATGTTGGTGGACTCACTAGGCATTGTAATTACCAATCATTTATTCATTTATATTTATTGAGCTCTGACAACATGCAAAAACTTTCCCATGTTTGTTTCTATGGACACTGCCCACCAGTTGGGGATTGCCTGTTCAATTGCCTCCTAATGACCTGAATGATTTAATGTTCCTCTAAACATTGAACTCCCTGAAGATCACTGGCTGCAGTGGCTGAACTGATACAGTGAATGTTTTCTAGAAACTTTAATGAGCTTTGAAAGGGGATTTATTTATTTGTGCATCCAAGTTGTTTCAGCACAGTGTGAGCAAGACTTCAGCTGCAAGGCATTTTATTATTCATTGGAATTGGGTTTATGAATTACTAAGGGGCTCAGAAAGCAACAGCAGCTGGTTGGGGTCCAAAGGGATACTTTCATTTGTGTGACTAGCTCGACCCATCAATCACTCTAACTAAGCTCTTTCAGGGGCTGCCAGTCTCTGAGGGGATTCAGGAGAACATCCTGGCCCCAGTTGACTTGTGATGTCCTGGGGTTGACAGCACATTTGTTTGGTTAGTCAGACTTGCCAGCCTCACTCCTCTGTAACTTGCATCAGAAACATGTGCTTAAACAAATGAGAGGAGTTACCGTGAGCCAAGTTGGCTTTGTCGTTTTAAGATGAGTCGTTTTAAGGAGCTCCAGAGCGGCTAACTGTCCCCTTTATCTCTTAGACCTCCTGTCTTAGTGAGTGAACCCAAAATGCTCAGGGCAATTTTCAAGCACAATAGGGACTTTGTTACGAGTTTGAGGCAGACAGAGTGGCAGTGGCAGACTGCCTGCCTCTACCATTTATGAGCCACAAGACCTGAGTCAGTTAGCCTCTTTCTGCCTTAGCACTCTTCCTGTAAAATGGGAGTAATGAAAGTGCTCATCTCATAAAGGATTAAATGAGTTAATAATTGTAAAATTCTAACAGCTTTGGCACATGGTAAGTTCTCAGTTAATGTGAGTTATCATGATTCTGAGAGTATGAGTGACTTCTTTTTGTGTTCTCTACAATGCCTCACATACAGAAAGTGATCAAAAATATTTATTAATTTGGATTGAATAGAAATGAACTGTCAGAGCAGAATAAAGTTCTATCCTAATGAGGAATCAAATCCCACTGAGATACCATGATCCTGTGCCTTTGTTAAACCTAAACCATCTTTCCAGCCTGCATCCATTATCAGAAACCAATTGGCTCCTCTCCCTTCAAAAAGTTTAGGTCTCTTCTGATCCCCAGAACCTGTTGAATTAGAAGTCCTTTCTCCAACCTACCCTTTGCCTCCACTTCAAGAATCCCCAGTTGTCCCAGAATTTTCTCTGTTTTAAAAATGCTTATGTACAGAAGTCACATTGCAGCAGCCTATGTAGCCCACATATTTATATGTAAATGTAGGATGAGTCTCTCCAGCATCCCAATATATTTGGAAAAGAAATGTGCTAAGGAAAATCTGTTTTGAACCTTGATAAGCACTAATACTCAATGTCTGTTCAAGGGACTTTTTTTAATTAAAAATTTTGTTGAATAAAGGTCATTTCATCCAGATGGTATTTCCATTTCCCAGAAGGCCCTGGAGCAGGTTTGCCCATGACATATATCTCAGTACCTGGCTGGCTGAGGCACTGAGAGCTCTTTCCTTTCTAAAGTCATCACATTCACAGCAGACTGTTCAGGGACTCAGCTGAGCTCCTGAGGCTCTGTGAGTGCCTGCAGACGCTAGAAATTCTCACCTAGTGTCGGGCTCTTGAGTGGCTGGATGGCCTGGGTCAGGCCAGCCTGCTCCAGCCCAGTCATGAGCCCATGGCTCCCAGCCCACCACTTCCTCACTTTCCACACCCTCAGGTTTCCAAGTGGGGGAAAGGAGGGTACACTCCAGCCCTGACTCCGGGAATAGAATCTGAGCAGTCCTTCCGAAAGAGTGGACAAGTAGGAACCAGCAGGGGGAACTTACCCTGCATTTGCAGTGTGGGATCAGACCTTGAGCATTTCGCTCTCAGTTGAAAAGTTTGAATGATGGATGTTTCCTGTGATTTGTTTTGCCAAACAGTATGTTAACCTCAATAGTAAATCCTCCAACTCCCTTGTTAATTTTAAGTGTCCTTTTTACTTTCCATGCAGGAGCAGAGTTTATCAATGACTCTTTTATATAGATCAGGGAACAATTTCAAAAATATTTTAGTTTATTGATTCAGATCAATATAGACCCAGAGAAAAGCAATTTCCCTAAAATAGTACCCTGTATTTGCTAGCTCATCCAAATAACCCTGTCTCTCTCTCTCTTCTCTCTCTCTCATTGCTTCTTTGAAGGCAGCTGAAAAGCTAAACTGTTCCCTATTCGTGCACCCCTGGGACATGCAGATGGATGGACGGATGGCCAAATACTGGTTCCCTTGGCTCCTAGGTTTGTGTCAGCTTGGGGTCTGAAAGAGGATCAAGTCTTTGTTTTTTTCCAATTATCTGTGGAACTCTATTATGTCAAAGAGAGAAAGTATGAATAATTAACAGGATTGTGAGTTATTGAGCTCTCACTCAGATAAGTGCTATATATATTACTTCATTTAATTTTAATCATATCCATACAAAACTCTATGAGGTTGACATTATAATAGCTATTTTACAGATGGAGAAACTGAGACTCAGCATGGTTATGTAAGTTGTCCAAGTCACACAGTTAATAAGTGAAAATGGAAGTCACACAGATCTGTCTGACTCCTAAGCCTGTCTGACTCACTACACAGACTCCCAAAAAGGCTCCCAAAATAAGTAACCATGCCTGTCTAATAGATTTTTTAAGGAGCCAATAATAGCATCAGCTCTTACTAATGAGAACCCTGAAGTTACGAGTAGAAGGTCAACTTCCACCACCCAAGGATCTGAGGCCCTAGATTGTAGATGACTCAGGTTTTCAATCTTCCTGTTATCTGCTCCTCTCTTCTGCTCTTTGCCTCCTGCACTATTCATTCACAGTTCCATACGAGTGTAAGGGAAAGGGAGAGAGGAGAGACCTCCATTTGGCCTATCCAATCTCTCGTTATCATCCTTGATAAGAAGAAATGGAGACAGATGTAAAATTCTAGGGCCACAAGTGAAAAGTGCAGCTCATCTACAAACCCAATAAAAAGTGGGTCCCCAAATGAACAGCACTGGATTTTGTTTAGGGAGGCCATTATCCATTTTCTCCTCAGCCCAATTAGTACAAGTAATTGTAAAGTCACTACCATTAAGAATTAAATGGAACAATATATCGAAAGTCAAAAAACTGAATTTCAGTTCTAGCTAGTTTCTATTTTGCTGTATAACCTGTGGCAAATCACTTCACCTTCTCGGGCCCCAGTTCCTCATCTGTAAAATGAGAGAGCTAGTTTGGATTCTCTTTCTGCTCTTACATTTTTTGCCTCTGTAATTGCTGTTGGAGACCAATGTATTTGGTAAGCGAGCTTCCTACCCATCCCCCACCAAATTCTTGAGGAATAATTAGTAGGACGAGATCATCTAAGAGGCCCCAATGCTGTCCAGCTTCCAAGAAAATCTCATCCTAATTCACATGACACTTTGACAAGTCTCACAAACTTCTTTACATTGCAACTTCCCACATGAAAAACAGGAGAGCATTTGCAGAGAGTCATTTCATCATTCATTTATGCAACACATATATATAGATCCCCTCCAGCATGCCAGACCCTGTACCAGGCACTGAAGATAGAGACATGGACAAAACCTCTACCCTCCTAAAGCCTGTGTTCTGGTTAGAGGAAAGAGATGATAAATAAGTATGCAGATCATAAACAAAGAAACAGGCTAGTTCCAGAATTCTATTCTGCATACAAAGGTGGTCATTAGCAGATTAGTGGAGTCTCAGCAGGGGAGGGCCATGATCAAATTAACATTGTAAATATTCCACTTTGGCTCCTGTATGCAGAATGGATTATAGGGTTATGGTCCAAGTGGAAGCTCTGCCCACAAATCACTCCTAGGTGGATATGAATCCATCATGCTTCCAGAATTCCCAAGAGGCCAGGGAGCCAGAGGTTTCCCTGTCCACGGAACAATGACAGGCTTGGGGCAGGATGAGCATCCGCTAAAGTCCCATTCAGAAGCTAGAGAATCAGGCTTCCCCAGAAGGTGCAAGGCTCAGCTGTGGAGCCCCCAGAGATTTCTTAATCACAGTGTGAAAAGCAGTCACCTGGAAATGTAGCCCAGACTGACTCCGTGGTGATGAAGGCATCAGGCATGGAACAGCTGTTTCTTCTAGGAGCACAAAGCACTTGAAATAATTCATTTTAATCCAGTTATTTTTAACCTCAGCTCTAAGAAGCAGCAATGATTTGGCAGGAATAATAATATTAGTTAATATTTATTGAGCACTAAGTGGCAAAAACTAACCATTTTCATCCCTCTTTTACAGATCAGGAAATTGAGGCACAGGGAGGAAACTAATATTTGTTGAGCACCTCCAATGTGAAGTTCTGGCCAGGAGCTTTCCCGACGTCATCATTTCCAAGGCTCCACAATAGCCTTACAAGATGGGCAACACTGTTCCCATTTTACACTGTGAAGAAGCACAGACTCAGGGGCATTAAATAACTTGTCAAAGGCCAGGAAGCAAAAAATTGGAGGAGTTAGGGTTCAGCCCAGACTCATCGTACTCTGCTTGCCCCACTGCATCCAAAACTGAAGCTGAGGGAATCAGGAGAAAAGCCAGGTCCTCTGGCTCCTTGACTGTTCTAGCCATTAGATGACTCTACCTGCAAGTGACAATAGGAAGGTTCAGATGGTTCTGCTTGCCAAAGTAATGGCTTTTATACAACCAAGCCATGCTGGGGCACAGGGACCTCACGTTTCTCAGCATTGACAATCACAGCAAGCTGCCATTCCCCAACCATTAGCATCACTGAGCCTCTTCTTGCTTGAGATAACAAACCCTGCACCTTGTGACTATTTCCTCTTTCAGGAATGCCAGCAGAGACCACTACTGCCATTTGCTCCATGATCATGGGTGGAGTGTTTGAGAAGTTTCCTAAACTGAAAGTATGTTTTGCACATGGAGGTAAGACCCTATCTGTATTAGTCAGCTTGGGCTGCCATAACAAAATGCCACAGACTGGGTGGCTTAAACAACAGAAATTTATTTTCTCACAGTTTTGGAGGCTAGAAGTCCAAGATCAAGGTGCCATCAGGGTTGGTTTCTGGTGACCTCTCTTACTGGATCGTAGAAGGCCATCTTCTGTGTCCTCACATGGCCTTTCCTCTGTGCATGTGCAGAGAGAAAGAGATCTCTGGTGTCCCTTTCTCTTCTTTTTTTTTTTTTAAAGATTTATTTATTTATTTTTCCCCCAAAGCCCCAGTAGATAGTTGTATGTCATAGCTGCACATCCTTCTAGTTGCTGTATGTGGGACACGGCCTCAGCATGGCCAGAGAAGCGGTGCATCGGTGCGCACCCAGGATCCGAACCCGGGCCGCCAGCAGCGGAGCGCGTGCACTTAACTGCTGAGCCACGGGGCCGGCTCCCTTTCTCTTCTTATAAGAACACCAGTCCTCTCAGATTAGGTTCCTACCTTATAACCTCGTTTAACCTTAATTACTTCCTTAAATGCCCTATTTCCAAATACAGTAACATTGGGGGTTAGGGCTTCAACATATGAATTTTGAAGAGACACAATTCAGTCCATAACACCTTTCCAGCCACCATTCTAGTCATAAAGTATATGATGGTTCAAGGACCAAATTCCATTTTTGCAGACAAGTTTAGTTTGGTTGGCACAGTTTTTGTTTTATTTTGTTTGTTTTTTATTTAAATCCCTCTAGTCAGACCACAAGCTCTCCAGTTTACAATAATCCCTGCCATTTACTATTGTTTACAAAAAGGACTATTTCATTCATTTACATTTCCTGCTTGGTCCCCTTAGGTAATTGAGTTTGTGACTCTTGGACACACACACACACACACACACACACACACAAACACATACACACAATATCAAACTCTATGTGCTGTTCTCTAATCTGCCTTTCCTTCTCAACAGCATATAGAGACATCTTTCCACGTCAATAAATATAGAGCTCCATCATTTTTGATGGTTGCATGCATGACAATACATTTTGTGAATATGCCATCATCATTTAGATATTCCCCAACTGATGGATTGCCTCTGTATTTTGCTATTATAACCACGTTACATTTGAAAACCTTGACCACATATCTTTACACACTTCTCTCTTTAGGATAAATTCCTCAAATCTGAACTTCTAGATGAGTTAACATCGTTTCTTCTGGGTTATCTCCCAGCATTTGGAACCCAGTAGGTCCTTTGTAAATACTGTTAACCATCTGGGCTACAGTACCTTCTTGCACACAACATGAGGATTGAAAGGAATCCTTTTCAATTGACACCAGCCCTTCAGTAATGGGTTTTACTTGCAGGTGGTTCCTTCCCCTTCACGGTGGGAAGAATTTCCCATGGATTCAGCATGCGCCCAGATCTGTGTGCCCAGGACAATCCAACCAACCCAAAGAAATACCTTGGTTCCTTTTACACAGACTCCTTGGTTCATGATCCTCTGGCCCTCAAGCTATTAACAGATGTCATAGGAAAGGTAAGTCGGCTCTGCCATTCGGATGGCTTATGGGAAGCAGAGTGCAGGATCAGCACCAGTTGACTTGGCCTCTCTCCAAAAAAGAAATGGAAGAAAAGGCATTAGAAGAAAGAAGGGGGACAGTGAGGTTTGGGATTAGGTTTCTTTGCACAGGGGATCCTCTCAAGAGCCTCCATCAACATAGAGTATGTATCACCAGGAAACCGTTAAATATGCCAGGGAAATTCCAGATAATCCACATGGCTGAGTAGTTCCCCTAGATCAGCTCCTATTCCTTACAGTCATCTCTGTACCCATCCAAAATGACACATGTCGATGTGGTAAGCAGGAAAGAGCCACCCGTTGTGAAGTCAAATAGACCTGGGTTAAAATCCTGGCTCTACCTCTTACTAATTGGGTAAATTGTGAACCCAACTGTCCTCATCCACTAGATGAATGAAATTGGAACACTAAAGAGAGGGAAATAGCACTGGACAAGGAGACAGGGGAAGATGATGAAGGATCTTGTGTACCACCTGAAATTTCTTTCTGGAATAATATGGCCTTTGTTTTGAAAACAGTTCTCTCATTTGGCCAAAAAGACCAAAATGGTAGTACTTTACACCTCACAAGAAAAAGTATTTCCTTTTTTGTGGTCTGCTAGCAGATCTCTCTGTTGGTGGCTTCTCCACCGTTAAGTATTCTTTGAAAATGCTAACTCAGCAAGTTAGACCATTTTTAGGGCAGAGGCCAGTCTGAACTAGTGAAAAGTCTGAAATATTTAGTATTTTAATTCTGTTTTATTACTTAGAGATATCTATAAAAGGTTTCTAATTTTCCCAAGAAAAAAAATCTGTGGGGTTGTCTAAATATGGACATATTTAAAGATTTGCAGTATGGTGCTTGGATTGAGAATAGACTCGAAGGCATTTAAAATTTTGTTTAGCAGAAAAAGAGGTCCATCATTTGAAAGTTGCAAGTAGTGTTCTATCTCCAGAATGGAGACTTCATCTCACTTTAAAGCTGACTGTTTCTCTCACTTAAGAAACTCACTAGAATATAAACGTTAAACATTCTGGTTTGGTAATAAATTATGTAATTAAACTGGGTTTCTGAGCCTTCTAGCTTTTGTGTTGTCCCTGCCAAAATGGGTGCTTAGCAGCTGGTTACGACTGTTGATTATCATTGGTTTGGACAAAGGGGCGATAGGGAGGCAACTACAAAGAAGAGACCCAAAAGAGACTGTGAGCTCTGGACTTTGAGCGATGGAGGGGATGGAGGGAGTGGGAAAGTGGTGTGGAATTGGAGAAGGGAACATTCTGATTACCTGCCGTCAAACTGAGTAGCCCCTGGTATTCTTGGAAATGGCAACATCAGGAGAAAAACACCCTTGGCAAATACCACACCCATCTTATGAGGGATACCTACCATCAGCAGTGAGGGATACTAACAGTACCTTCAAACAGCATTCAGGGCAATACACATCACCACAGGGTCAGAGCAGAAGAGGAAGAACATGGCAAATGCCTTGTGGTAATCAGTGGATAGAACAGTTAGTGAGCACATGTGAATAAACACCTTTTAAGGACTCCCAGAAAAACAGGGCACTTTGCAAAGTTAGTGGTGCTGAGATCTTGCATTCAAACTGTGAAGACTTGAGCCATTATAATTTAGGCATCAAAAGCAAACGTGACCTCATTTTATGTGCTCTCACAGGCTGGTGAATCCAGGACACATAAGCAGTATATATTAATAATTTGGGATTCTCTTTAAAATATTAATGCTTCCTCATTCTAGTTATAGTCACATTAGAAAATTCTCTCAAAAACAATCCCCAAACCAGAATGGCTAAGGAAAGTCCCAGCATGACAGCTGGGCTAGACAGCAACCTGTCCAGATTAGAGCATGAGGACAGAATGCCGTGGAGGGAAGGCTCCAGGACAGACCAAATGGAACTGATGGATTATTTGATGTGTTTGAGAGTTTCAAACAATGATTGCCAGGCATTCAACAGATCTGTTGATGTATTAGGAACAAACAAGCAGTACATACACGGAAAATGAAACAAATGAAAGAAAAGACAATAAACTCCGGGAAGACAAACATCCATATGAGGCAGATAATCATTGTACATTACTTGACTGAGCAGTGAACAATATTTGTAGTCATAATAGTATAAATACCAAGTACTGGTTTAACTGAAAATTATAATTCTATTGGGAATATAGAAGAGAGAAGTTGGGGTAAGAAAGAAATTCTCAATGATCATAATGAGAATAAATACTCCCTAAAGCTAATAAATCAATAAACAATAGTATAAGCTTATTACCTGGAAATATAAAGGTAATTCTCAGAAGATGCAGGTTAAAAACGTAAAAGTGGCTGCCTTGGGGGACAAGAGTTGGGAAAGTAGGCATAGGACTGCTTTTGGTAAGAAAGATTTTAGTAATATTTGATTGTTTAACTAGGTATAGGCATTACTTTTATAAATCAAAATTTTAAATAATACACTAAGAATATATATATATATATACACACTAAGAATATGGTGAGAGAGAGAGAGAGAGACCAAACTATTTATTGAGCATCTACTATTTCTAAAACACTGAGTTAAATGGAGAAATTAAATTACATAATTTCTTAGCTTCCTTCCATCTCTAAAATTCTTTGCTTTTAACTATGTCTACTCATTTTTAAAGACAAGTACAGAAATGCTACTTATATGTTATCAGCCTATCACTGTGAAAAATATGAAAAAGAGAAAACCTTATTTCCTCCCTATATTAACATGATCATAGAAAACTCACTGTATATATTTGGATGGATAGATTTTTTTTTTATTTTATTTATTTATTTTTTTCCCCCAAACCCCCGTAGGTAGTTGTATGTCATAGATGCACATCCTTCTAGTTGCTGTACGTGGGACGCGGCCTCAGCATGGCTGGAGAAGTGGTACGTCAGTGCGCGCCCGGATGCGAACCGGGGCCGCCAGCAGCAGAGCACGCGCACTCAACCACTAAGCCTCAGGGCCGGCCCTGGATGGATAGATTTTTAAGAGGTCAGTCATCCTCTCATTATGATTATATCATCATTTGGACCAGCTCCATTGGAAATCTATTGCTGCATAACTAATTACCCTAAAACTCAGTAGCTTAAAACAACAACAAACATTATTTTCTCTTATGGTCTCTGTGTGTCAGGAATTTAGGAGCAGTTTAGCAGGCTCAGGGTCTCTCACACAGTTGCAGGCAAGGTATCAGTAAGGGCCACAGTCACCTGAAGTCTCGACTGGAGCTGGAGAATTTATTTCCAGGATGACTTTACACATGACTGGCACATTGGTGCTGGGTTTTGGCAGGCCTCAGTTCCTCCCCATCTCAGCCTCTCCACTCTCCACAGAGCTGCTTGTGTGTCCTCACAGCACAGCAGCTGGCCTCCTCTAAGAATGAGTGATCTGAGAGAGACAGGGGCAGAGGTACAAAAAGAAAGAGAGAGAGAGATTGAGTGCGCACCAGGCAGAAACTATCCTTTTTAAGACCTAGCCTCAAAAGTCACATAAGGGGCCAGCCCGGTGGCATAGTGGTGAAGTTCATGTGCTCCGCTTCAGCGGTCTGGGGTTCTCGGGTTCGGATCCTGGGTGCGGACCTACACACTGCTTGTCAAGCCATGCTGTGGCGGCATCTCACGTACAAAATAGAGGAAGACTGGCACAGATGTTAGCTCAGGGACAATCTTGGTCACCAAAAAAAAAAAGTCACATAGCATCATTGCTGCGACATTTATTTATTAGAAACAAGTCACTAAATCTGGCCCTCATTAAAAGAAAGTGGAATTAGGCTCCACCTTTTGAAGAGAGGAGTATGGAAGAATTTGAAGACATATTTTAAAACCACCACATTCCACACTCTGGTCACAAATTATTTATATTCTTCCTAAATGCAAAATATCCTCACCCCTCACCCAACCACCCCAAAAGTCTCATCCATTTATAGCATCAGCTTAAAGTACAGGATCTCATTGTTTAAATTAACTTGGGGATGATGCTCCTTACATACAGTTTCTCTCAAGCTGAAGACCTGTGAACTAAAAAGACAAGTTCTTCACCCCACACATACTCAATATAAAATAGTGAGACAGGCAAAGGATAGCTGCTATGATCCTCCATTCCAAAAGGGGGAAAATAGGAGGTTCAGAGAAGTCACTAGTAAATCTGAAATCCTTCAGGCACATGTTGGTAGTTCCTTGATTAGAACTCAAAGCATAGGAATGATTCTCCAGAGCTCTCGGTTCTACCCTCTGAGTCATCCCTCCTTTTCCTCGAAAGGTAGCTTATGTTTGTGGCTGAGTAGTTTTTACAGACAGCTTCATGCTCAAGTTTTGGGATCCAAAGGCTTCTTTTCATTTTGTTCTGTCTTTTCCTTTCAGTCCAAGCTGGTGGTATTTCTGCTAATATAAGTGTCTTAAAAACTTTGTGGGTCTTTTATGAATCTTATTAGGTTTCATACCATTAGGCAAAAGCCTTACGCACAAGTCTCTGAGAAAAGCTCTTCTCTACCTTGGGTTTGTACAGAGGCTGCTAAGGAACAACGCTCTTAAGCTATCTAGAAGCCCTTATTATTTGACAGAATGGTTCTTTGAGGCACTGTCTTTAATCTTTTGAGGTCATAAGAAAGATATAGTCACATCTTGGCTTCATTTTTAGACTATATTTTCTGATTATGCCCTGGATTTAATCTTTGCCAGAAAGCCATCTCTAATTTTGGCATCATTTGCCCTTGGAGGGGCTGGGAATTTTCAAGCCCAATAATTCCTAGCTCCTTTATATTTTTAACAGTCCTTCCTTTAAGGTACTCCCATTGCATTGTATATAAGCAGCAAGAAGCAGCCAGGCAGCACTTTCAACATTCCGTCTGGAAATTTCTTTAGCTATATCACCCAGTTAATTAAATATATTTTCTACTTTGCATATTACCGTAGGTGACAGTGTTGCTAAATTTTTTGCCACTACAGAGCAAGGATCT